GGTTAGAGGGTTCCAATCATCACTTCCTTAGGCTATGTATCAGATCTATTGAGGGTGATGATCTTGGATGAAGTATCAAATTGTCTCGAGATTCGCTAGCGCTCAGCAACCCCGGACCTTCTTGATGAAGAGGAAAGAACGAAGGGGGAATCTTCATGAAAGACGATCGTCGATGAAGCAAGAGACTTGACCGTCAGGGTACTCTTTTCTTTTACACCTGTGGCCCTACTGGATCTAGGTATAAAGATTACCCCAGTTCTACATTTGGGTAGGCTCAATCTATGAGATACATTGCAGCTAAAATAAAGTAAATTGGTGTCGCCACTCAAAGCCAGATATCCAAGCCAACCAGCTGTAGCGAATGGAAGGAGTATTGCTGAGTAAGAATCAAGATCAAGGGGACTCCAATTGACTACCTGGTAATTCATGTAGATATCTACATAGTACTAGGTAGGTACCTTGCCGTGTCCTTTCCGTCGTGGCCTTGATTACTGCCTCGGCGGAGTTATGGTCAATTAAGGGGAGGCACGGAGAAAGTGAGGAATTCAACTCTTATCATTTCAGGAATCGCTTATACTTCACATAAATAAAAGACAGCGAGATCATGATGGCAGAAATGAGACACATGGAGAGTACAACGACTCCCAGTAGACAGTCAATTATGGATTCTGGATGTTCTCGTTGGTATATATGCTTAAGAGAAATAACAAACATGTCTGACTCCTATGATGTACCTAAATTTGATGCTCATGGTGTTTTTCGGCTTCTCTCCCGAAATCGGTCCATGGTTCTTTCCCGTCTTGCTCATGCTTTCCTAACTTTTCAAGGTGAATACTTAATAACTCCCCCCCTCGCATCCATCTGGAGGTAATCCACTTTTTATCAACATCCTGCTTCTTCTCGAAGGCTCTTTCTTATATCATACCAACCTTGATGAAATTCACTGACATTTCTTTGGCGTTCCTCAGACTCTTCCCGCTTGCAGTCTTCAATGCACTGTCTTTGATGATCTGAAATCCCTCCATCTCCTCTACTTTTGTTCTTTGACACACACACGGAACTGTTGGTTTGTTCGTTCAATCTATAATCCTTCAATCTTCAAGCATCTCAACGATTGTTATCAATTGGTGATTTTCATATCATCAATTGGGCAATAATCTCTGATCTACAATCGTTTTGAACCCATAGACTGCCTTTTCCAATAACTTACACAATTGTCACGTCCCTGGGGCATTCATTTTTGACACCTCTTCTTCTTGCCTTTGAGTCAAGAACTTTGTGCCTAAGCATGTCGTCATTCAATCGTTCATACGGTCAATCGCCACCTTCTCCGGTGTCCAATGGCGCTTTTGAGTCCATCCAAGGAACTCCCAACACTGCCATCACTGCCATCTCTCCAGAAGATGCCAGAGTACCCAAGCAGTCGGCAACAGACTCTCGTGCATCTTCTGTCACTACAACTGTTAATCAACATGATCCTTTTGTAACGACTGGGACCACCACAAGCAGGGCTTCGGCTCAACTTTCTGCGACCGCTTCTGCATTCCAACCCTTGCACCTCTATGGGCCTGCAGTTGGTGCGCCAATTACGGGAAACCTTATCGCCAACGGATCTGGATCTACTACTCTTATTCCAGGTACAATTCAGTACTTGGACAACGTGGTAGCTTCTCAATCACCAGTTCGTGAGTCTGAGGTTACCAGCTATGGTGTAAGTTCGATTTATCTTTGCTCACCCTGTTATTAGTTGCTAACAGTTCATAGAAATTCAGCACGGATACTGGCGCCACTCGTTGCATCAGAGTTACGGATATCTACCAAAAGGCAGATGTCAATAGTTGTGTTCAATACTCTTTCGAGGTATGTCTTTACCTTATCATTAGCTTGTTCATCGTGTCTCTTTCTAACAGATTTCCATATAGAAATTAAACAAGGCTGGAGTCATCATCACTGGCGGAAAGAGAATCGAAGTAACAAAAAACAATGTCGTCTACATTAGGATGTCCAACATTTATGAGGCAGCCAAAGTTTATACTGCAATCAAGATCGATCATGTCGATTGCGCAGTGGAATACATCAAGGTTCGTCGAAATCTTCACTTCTCATCCAACAAAAACTAATGTTCCGACAGGCCAATGACTTTGGTGGTGTTCGTGTAATCCTTCCCTCTTCATGCAAACAGGAGCTAACATTTCCCCAGGCTATCAGTCCCCAATCAAGAACCGTGTACTCTGCTCACGAGGGTCAAGTGATGCTAACAGCAACATATCCGCCACACACCAACATTGATAAAAAAGTCTTTGAGGAGAGTCTCCGTGACTTGTTGTCCGTTGAAGGAGAACTATATGCATGGCAAAAATTTCTTGCAACAGAAGCAGGCACCTTCCGACTATGTGCAGAGTTTGTTGATTCCGCAATGGTGGCTCGCGCAATTGAACGCTGCAACAACAAGCTCATTGGTGTATGTATCGTCTCTCCTTTTTCACCTGATTGGACATCACTGACTTTTTGCACAGAACATTCTTGTCAAGTGTGAGATGCACACACCTGATGTTGCAAAGAATCGTGGCACCTCGCGTAACAATTTGGCACAGGCTATAACTCCTACACGTCGCTCAGCTCCACAAGCTGACATTAGTGATGTACTTGGACACATGTCACTTCAGGCCCCCCAAACTCCTGGATTTCCTAACAATGCTGCAATGTTTAACTCTGGTAGCCCAAATCCTCAAGGTATTCAATATATGACCACAAATCATTATGGAATGCTACCATCGACCACAGTTCCATACGTCATGAGTGGTATGGGCGGCATGTACACCGGCCAACCTCTAGCCTTTCAGACAGGTTTTCCTGCTGCACTTGCAACAAATCGACCCTCGCAGGTTATGGAGCCTTATGAATCTTTTGCTCCACAGGCATACTCGCCACACATGTACGCTAGTCACCTTGCTCAACAAGGTGTCCAGCGCTACCCAACCAGTCCACAGGCTTATAGTAACAACTTTGGTTACATGAGTCCTCAGACTCCTAACTCTCGTGAAGTAGCCCGCAGTGGTAATCGTCGCCAGCTTCCCGTCGCTCGCACACCCCAGGGACAACTTCGAGGACGCGGAACATCTAATCCTGCTGCCAGTCATCACAATCATGTCGATATCAACAAGATAAATGCTGGCCTTGATGTCAGAACTACTGTAAGTGTGCAATCGCCCCCCCCCCCCCCCCCCCCCCCCCCCCTAAGCCTGCTCCTTTCTAACCTTCTTCTTAGGTGATGTTGAGAAACATCCCAAACAAGGTCGATCAAGCCATGTTAAAGAGCATCGTCGATGAGTCCAGCTTCGGAAGATATGATTTCATGTACCTTCGAATTGACTTCTCGAACGACTGCAATGTCGGCTACGCTTTCATCAATTTTGTTGATCCTATGGACATCATCGAGTTCGTCCTTGCTCGCTCAAACCAAAAGTGGCACCGATTCAAGAGTGATAAAGTTGCAGAAGTCTCTTATGCAACCATCCAAGGCAGAGACTGCTTGATTCAAAAGTTTCGCAACTCTTCTGTTATGCTCGAGCCTCCCCACTACAGACCAAAGGTAGTTCTATCAAGAATTGATATTGTCCTATACATAACTGACAAATTGACGTAGCTCTTCCTAACTCACTCCGACGGAGCTAATGTTGCCGGTTTGGAAGATGAATTTCCTCCATCTGACAATGCTTCCAAGCTCAAGCGAAGCTGCGAGAATGCGGAACATGTTGGTAAGTTATCATCTAATCGTCTTTCAAATTAGCACTTTTGCTAAGACTTTGAAGGGCTTTTTGCGCCTAGTGCTGGCCAATATCTACGTGATGAGCAACGTCGCCGCCGTTCTCAGTACGACCGAGGTACAAGCCTTGCAGAACGTGAGGAGTATGGCTTTGATGATGACGAGGATGATCTTCATCGCAGCCCTTGTGCTCAGGGCTTCTCACCACACTGTAAGATGGCATTCCTTTACTTCCCTATTCAAAGTAGTTTATCCAGTATTTTGGTTACTAATATTCCCTAGATTGAGTAGCTGGACTTTGACCATCCCTTCAAAAGTCATCCATACGATCTGATGTCAATTTCATGCTACCCACTTTGGTTCCTGCCGGCTAGCTATAATCTTGTCAGATACCATCTTTTTCTGGTCTGTTGATTTGCACCAATTTTAACTCACTTGGGGAAGTTTGGGTCAGCCACACGACAAGCCTTATATGGTTTACATTTTGAAGCAGATTGGACGAACCATCTAGTTGACTGTTTCTATTTCTCTTCTTTACACGGAAAAGTTTATCATATTGCTACATATGAACTTGTTTCTTGCGACACCAGAACTCTTTGCTTAAATGAAATACTTTGGCGGTCACATTTGTGGTGGCTTCATGGCCCCGATTTTGAGCCTAGGTACAACTAGCTTTTGACAATAAAATAGAAGAAATTTTTGCTACCTGTTGATTCAATTCCATCGTATGATCTTAGATGTGCTTTGTTATCATTTTTGAGCGAAATCGTCATCATCATGCATTGAATTGACTTAAGTTCGCATAATTGTGACTGCCGTCGCAACGGGTAGGGTCTTGAATTTGAATGGAATAGTGATGATGTATATACATGTGGAAGGAAAAAGGAAGAGCGTTGCGATATCATGGAGAAGTAGATAGGTTTGGTATCATGTGTGGGATTGATCAGTGGTGTTTTTTTGGGATTCTTTTGATTACAAACTCATGGCTAGAACAACGAGTTGAGAAATCCACTGGTGAGCTCAGGGAAACGTCTTTACTTAACAGAACGGTGTCAGCAACGCCTCGCAAATTCTGCAGAAACATGAATCTACCTGATATTCCTTGAATTGTCTTCTAATTCAGAGTGAATGCCTCCACAGACAGCTGCAAAAGCTTTCCTCGCACGCTTCGCATTGCCTTAACATCAAATCTTTCATGACGAATGTTGGACTTGTGCCTGCTCCTTTACAGCTTCTACTCCTTTCGAGCAACCAAAGTTGCCATCGGTGACCTCCATATTACTCCCCGCTTTCTCATCTCGACCGCCTTCTTCCGATAGAGATACGCAGCCATCTTCGCTTCTTCGTCACTCGATCCATTCCGAGACGATAGCAATTCTATAATCAGCGCTTTGGCGCGCGATTGCCACTCAGTCACCAGGTCGTTTATTTCTGGTTTGTGATACGGTGCAAATGTGTGGTCAGTCACATGCACATCCTCCACGGGTAAATTTTGGAGAATCCTTTCGACGTCGTCAGGTGGATCGTAGGAAAATCCTTGGTCGCCCCAGTGCTTGAACATCTTGTCTACCCCGGTTTTCCACAAGGGCTCGCTTTCATCAGCGGAGTGTGTTATCTTGAGGCCGTTGCGGTAGGACATGTCGGTCCATTGGAGATATCCACCGGGTTCTGTGTTGGTTAGTTACGGGTTTTCGGTGTTGTTTTGGAGATTGAGAATGAGGAATTCTTACTGAGTAACTTGACTAAATTTTCCACAACGCCTTTGATCTGTTCGACTTTCAGGGCGAGCACCACGAGTCGTATGTGCACGACATCAAAGGTACCGTGGTATTCTTTAGGGAAACTCTTCGTCATGTCCCATAATACAAACTTATTTTCCCGAGCAGCATTCTTGGGGAATTGGTCGGGAGAGATGTCGAACCCTACTGTCTCCAGAAGGTTGTGTCCTCCATTCGCAAATTCCTCAGCTAATTCCCTGAGCCAGATACTAAGTAAGAGTCAGTATTAGATTTTGGAATCTAAAGGAATAATGCTATCGTACCCGGTACCTGTTGCTATATCTGCTACTCTGGACACATTTTGCTTGGGGATTCGGGGGTCAAGGACGTGTCCGCCTCTGATGACCTTAATGGCTTTGCTCTGTTGGTCTAGCCTGGGATATATTAGTACATACGATAAGTCAAATTATCTCCTGAGATTCACACCTGTCTCTCTCTTCCTCGTCTCTTCTATTAAGCAAGTAAAGTTCCTGATCTGGTGATTCTATCTCAACTGTAGTGACTGGGGTAGTCGGCAACTTGGCGATGGCAATCACCTTTTCTACCGCTGCAATTTCCATTTCCAATGCGAGTGGAAACGACGAGTCCGTGTAGATATTTTTATAATCTCAATCTTAAAATCACAGATAAGTATCCACCTAAAAACTCAAGAAAGTACTTTCAGATGAAATGCCGACAACATCAAAGGTAAAAAGCTCAGGTCTATTTATAATATCCCTCAATACAGCATGGCTCTCGGTACCCCTCTTCATCCCATGCTGTGGAAAAGGGGACAAACCAACGACTAACAGAATCCGACACGATGGCTATGTTTCATTGCAGGACGCATGATGTTCAGCTGTCCACTATTCAATCACAAAGGCGGATTTAGCGAAAAGAGGCAAGACAAGCGATGGTACCCCTGTGTATACATAGGGATTCCGAACTGCCGAAAATGCGATATTCTGAAAAAAAAAAAAAAACTCTAGAGAATCGGAGTCTTAAGACGGCTATTCAATACGGAGAATCTTAATATGATTGGGTAAACGTGCCGATGAGGATTTGGAATCCGGTGATACAGGGGTTCGTACACCCCACACTACCCCCCCAATCACGTTGTGTAAGTTGACCAACATACCGTTGAGTCGGCTGATTAATGATTAATGATTTCTCACATGAGCATTATTGTATCTACTTGTCAATTGAACTAGTCCAGAGGTAGCGAGGTATGATTCAGGGCTCACTAATGAATCCATAGCAGCAGGTCTCCGCGTTACTACGCTATGCGCATTCTGACCAGTAGCGGCGGCGACATTCGTAATCTGTCAGATGCTATCTATCTACACCTCTCTGGAAGTAAGCTTCCACACTATATTTTGTATTGATGATATGGGGGGATTGAGTCAGTGTAAAGGACGCACAGTGGCATGTGCAAGTTCCTGCGGAGAATAGACTCTCAATGATCTGAGTTTGTAGTGAGCTGGCATATATATGTCCATTGTGACAATCCGAATGTGAGTATATGCATGTAATCCAATAAGCATGTGGAGCACATGAGAAGGTTTCCTTATAATGAGACCCAGGTAGTATCAAATGTAATCGAAAGTATTATTGCATAGAGCTGAAGTCTGAGAGGCATTGCAACATACTTTCTAGGGAATAAAGCCTAAACAGCTCACATGTAATAAGTACGAGTACCACAAAAAGCTGGCCGAACACGGAGCTCAATATGTCATCTTTTGTGATAGAAAAAAATTCTATGGACTCGCAAGAGGAAGCAGTTTCAAGATGCACATCATGTGTCTAAGAGTGCCTCACCACAATTGAGCTGTCTGACATTGTGAGCTCTGTAGTCTTTAACCCTTCGACCGGAGCCTTAAGCGTCGATGATACATTCTTCACAAATAGCTTCTCTCTACAACATCAATCGTAGCCAGCAGCACGTGATCGGGGTTCATCTATCTAGCTTGGCAGCGAGGCGCGTTAGGCCTAAGAGCTGGAGAGCTAGGTGCTTTATTAATAGGCTACGAATATTGTGCTCGATTGTGTTAAGTAACAACCCACAGGCTATGTATTGGTTGATAAGATGGTAACATCGAGTGTAAGATATGTGGTGGAGAGACGTACGTCGGGCCTGGGAGATGGAGGGTTTGTGGCAGTCCCACAGGCAGTCAAGTTCCGAACATTGGTGATTAATCGAAACTTTCGTTTGCTCTTCTCAGACTATTACTATGTGAGTAGAATGGCCAGTGTGAACCTGCTACCTTTATAGGATATTTATTGTGCTTCCGTTTCCCTAACGATAGAAAATTCGCTAAAATATCATTGGATGCTGGTGCCGCGTTTCTAGAAGACCACTTTGCGTGGTTAGAACGAGTTTGTCATTGTAATTGAAAGGTAATTACACTAAGTGTTCTTGATAATACAGAGCTTTCTATAACCTGCCCCGTCACTCGAGTTTAAAGGTTGTGAGTTAGCCTCATTCCGCTCCGTTATATCATCTCACTCGAAATAATATAAATATCCCTTACATCAAGCAAAATGATCATTCATAAATCTCCGAAAGCTGTGATCACGAAAATCACCATCAAACTGCCACATCTTTGTATGACATGTTGTATTGGGATCGAAGATGCCATCAAGATTCTAGGATTGGCTAAGGCTACTCGAAAACGACTCCATGCAAGGCACAATATTTAGTGCTGACATGAGAGCTTTTATTCGAATAGACGGACACGCCTTCCAGTATGCCCAATGCAGCCTTGGCCATGACGTTCTGATTCCCCATTACATCAAACCGCTTCATTGCCCATTCAAACTGTTGAAGGGACTCGTTTAGACCATTTTTATTCTTATAAGAATACATGACATATTTGGCACCTATAATAATTGCAGCGTCGAAAGTGCGTAGTTTTAGACATTAAATCCTACGAAAGAGGATAACGAACAAGACCCTTTGATAGCCTAGAACTTCAAGAGTAGCTCTGAACGCTAGAGCTCTGCCAGATTCAGGTAACGTTCGAAACTTTTTGAGGGATGACGTGCAGATGATTCTTGCTCGAACAGTAATCAAAGTGGCATGTTGTCTGTTTGGTAGAGCCATGAGTGAATGTCAGACTGGCTGTAGTCGCCCACAACACCATCAAATGATATGTTGATGGCATATTTGAAGTCTAAGGTGGGATTATACCCCGGTGGTGAAAAATTGGAGAATGATACTGACTGAACTATTAAAAGAACAACACAGGACAGAACTTTATGACTTCCGACAATCCAAGTGCAGCCTTTTCAAGTATAGAAAAGGATGACCTATTCCAACTCTTGAGATTATCTCGGAAAATGTCTTCATCCAATGGAGAATACTGATGGTTAACTTCTCGGAAGAAAATTTCAAGGAGGCTTCCGATAACTGCTTTGAAGGAAGTTGGCAAATCAAGTTCTTGTACTTCTCTCGCAGCCCGCTCTTATCTGTCGCTATGGACGGACCTTTGGTAAAGAGGAACTTGGCACCGTGTCGTGGCTCTATAGAATTCTCAAGATACCAAGCGTAATGTTGTTATTCCCACTGGGCTTCGCAAATTCAAGTGCGTGAACCTGAGACATGGGGTATGGCTCAAGCTCTATGGCTTCAGATGATTCTTCGTCGTCGAATGAGACATTTTTACTTTCCCCAACAATTGCCATTTTTGGCAATTTCTCTTCCAAATTGGCATGCCGATTGCTCGTTTCGAACAAGACAATTAGGGCAAGGAAATGAGTGATCGCACTATGACTTGTTAATACTAGAAATAGCATTGTGCCTACTCTAACAACGTTTGCTTGTGCGGATATCTTCTGTGCGCGAGAACACTTTCCTATTCCTCTTACAACGGGTCTTCAATAAACTGCAGAGTTTCGATGTTAGTTTTTCTGAGGTGTTCTGTCGCTTTGCTCTCAGCCATGACTTTGCACGGGGAATTGCGTGTCTCTACTTATTATTAAGGGTGACCTGTTGTAGGAGACTTGACGATACACTCGCACTATGGCTCACGTTATTGCAGCCACACAATATAAGAATCTGCGGCGTTAAGTTCCATGATCATTTGGTAACCATCACACCAAGTGGCGGACAAGCAGACTTTGTTTGATTTGCCGTATATCCTGATCTTTCCTATCGTTCGGTCCCGTAACTGCAGCAGTCGTCATCAAAATTGACTGAGCCGTCTCCGTGATACATGTTTCTTTCTATAGCCGACTCCATTTCTTCATACACGGTTATAGTTTCCCACATTCAAGAAGAAGTATCGGATGATTTCCAGATGTGCTACGAATAGATTTGTTTCGACTTCGAATTCTTGGAGCGGAATAATTTGTCCTTGTACGGAGATACTTCGGATCAAGATAGGGCTACGGTTTTCCCAATGAGGATTTCCCAGGAGACTGAACCCCACTCACTTCAAACACCATCGTCAAAACTTCAGACAACAAACACGAGATTTTCAATTTCTTTACTTCCTTTCGTCCAAAATACCTTGGCACTGGTTTCAACGTTGCCATCCTACTGCAAAATCTGGTCTGATTATTTGCTGTTAATCTATTCAAAGCTCATTGCCGCTCAAAGCCCCATCTTAACAGTCCCTCCTTGGCAGCGGGTCAGACGTCTTGGATTCTTTACTTATCAGGATAGTATCTTACTATTCTTCTAATTCTTCAAACTTTGGGCAGAAGATGCGAGGTAGTATCCTTGCGTCCTGTATCACAATCTTCTGTCGAGGCAACGAAGAGTCTTTTGTATCTAAGTTTGGAGTCAAAGTAAGCTTGCTTTGACTTCCAAGATCTGTCATCTGAAAAATCTGATACGGCGAACATCTGAACAATATGATACAACGAGCGTACAGGCATGAGATGACGACCTTGGGTTGTTTCTGAAATCGTTTTCAATGGGTGGGAATTAGTTCCTATTCTTGCTCAGTACTGAGAAAGTGCCGACCTCAGTGACAGGCAGGCAAAAATATTCCTAAGATCCACGTTGCCTGCAACAGATTTTGTAGGAGAGTTGCATTATTATTCAGGAGGCGATATGAGCTATTACCCATGACGAACTTGTATCGTGAAGTTTTGCTGATACACGGTTCTTAAAAGGCAGGAGCATTTTCCTTTTCACCGTTTGTACATCTACATCCGCATCTCCAGTTGTATTCGCAATTCTTTCTTTTTCATTACACTTTAGACTCTTTCAATTCTGTACAGGATCCGGGCGATTCTCCTATAATCTAACTCTTATTCATTCATTTCTTAGTGCAGGACACCTTCCTTACCGTCAATATGTATACTTCTATTTTATTTCAAGCGGCATTATTGTCCGTCGCTCAAGCTCACGGTGTTATCCTTGCTGCTCAAGGTATTGCAGGATCCCCCGCAAGTGTTGGATTTAAAGGTAAACTTCCAATCTAAATTTCCCCATATTTCGGGATATTAATCTAATTTAATTTGCTTACCTAGTCGACGATGCTATCGCAAGAAATTGTACTGGCATCAGTCCTTGTCAACAAGACACAACCATTATTCGTGATTCCGAAATCGCAGCCAACATCGTCAATGAATGTGGCCGTACAGAATTGAGCGGCAACATTGATGTAGGAGAAAACACCGAAAATGCTCTCTCCGCCGGTGCGGTCACAAAAGTGAAAGCCGGTACACTGATGACCGTCACCATTCATCAAGTCAACGCAGATGGAGCCGGCCCCTACACCTGCGATCTCGACCAAACCAGCAATGCTGGTGTCATTTCCCAAAATTTAACCGTCACCAACAACGTACCAGGAGTCAACGGACTATCCCAAGCCAAAACTCAAGACTTCAACATCACCGTTCAGATGCCTGATAACCTTGCCTGCACTGGTGCCTCTACGGGAAACATCTGCACCGTTCGCTGCCGCAACAATGCTGTTGCTGGTCCATTTGGTGGTTGTTTTGCTGTTCAACAAACCGATGTTGCTGCTACCAATAACAGCGCCAATACCATCTCTACCGCTCAAACACTCAAAGCCATCGAAGCACAAGTCCAAGAAAACAACGTTGATCTTCCTGTCGCTGTTGCCGCTAATCAAGCCGCTGGTTCCGCTGACGGCGTAAAGGGTTTCAATGGTGCTAATGGTATGTTAATCCCAATCTCATGATAAAAGTTTACAACTAACAAAACGAACAGCCCTCCTCAGCGCTTCCATAACATCCAAAGCAGCCCCCGTCATGACCCTCGCTGTAGATAATGTAGGCGTCAACGCAGCCGTCGCATCTACAACCACAACCTCGTCCACCTCATCCGCAAAAGCAACCACAACCACTGCCGCCAAAGGAAATGGCAAAGGAAATGCCAATGCGAAGGGCAACGGAAACGGAAATGGAAGAAATAATAATAATAAGGCAAGAGGATCGAGTTTAAAGTGGGCCAGTAGACTATTTGCGGCTGATAGCTGGGAAGAGCCTTCGAACTAGACTTTGGTGGTGCTATATAGTGGGTTTTAGGTAGAAGATGGGAATAGATACCAGAGGTGCATGTCAAGAGATACTTACTTCATGAGAATGGAAGATGCTTTTTTTTAATGTATATAAATAGATTTGGAGAGATAACTTTGGGGCATGTGTATATGATATGTGGACGAATGAATTGAAAGATTGAAAGATGACAGATTATTTGTGCTCTTTGAATTGCAAGTGGGTCGAATATGCCCGAGAAGGAATAATATCTTGGAACTCGAGTGCGTTGCAAGGTGCTCTCTTGCCTAACCACTGATCATGTATACCTCTAGGCTGAAAAGTGCAGAATGTATAGATGACATAGCATCGTCTCGGACGCCGGCGACGTTCGGTTGGTACACGTGGACGATAGCTCTTGGGTCTTCGATCCCTTCCTGATCTATCTAAGCTATATTCTGAGCCTTCTTGTCGGCACATTTCACCCATTCTTTTCCTACGCCATCACTGGTGCTATGTATCTATCCAAGAACAGCTACCATCTGCATAACACGCTTTCCTTGACACATCATACATGAATCTAATCCGTCTTGTCATTTCATTCGCTCGTCAGACACATTATAAAACAGCACAGTTTCAACCATTCAACCAAGCTATAGGTAAGTAGATAAAATAGTAAATTCGTAAAGTAAGGTAGCCCTAAGTTTTTTTTCTTCATCATCATAAATGTAAGAAAATGTATCCATAAGTCATCAATCATAATCTCGAGGAAATCAATCGCCGCCCAGAAGAAGCGCGAGCCCCCCAGTGCAACGCTCACTCATAACATCATGTTTATGTTCATGACCTACCACCCATCTCTCAAACGCTCAAACAGAGTTTCCTCCATGCAATGCATCGCTATCCTCCACAAAGAGTGTAACCTCCGTCCTCGTCAACTGTAACAATCATGCCATGAAAAACCACACCATAAAAGCCCTCCCGTCATCTCTCTCTCACGCTTCCCTCGCCACTCGCTTACTTGCTCACTACAAACAAGCACTAAATCACCACAACGCAACCACCCATCTTCCAATCTCCAAAGGCAAAAAATAGAGATAAGTTGCCTCTCCGTAAAGACCGTGTACAGGAATATCGAGTCGCCTCATTTTCTCCACGAGATTCCGGTGCTGTGATACCCAAGAAAATCGTGGCTCATTCGTCATACACAATAGTATTTTGCAATAGCATTTGTATCTTGTAGATATTGTAGATTCTTGATCATTCCGCTCCAAACAAAACAAGAGTTCATGAGAAAGCAAAAAGGAAATATAAAAGAGTAAAGGAAATTCGTGCAGTTCGTTGATCTCATAATGATGTGAATGAATGAAATGGATAAAAAAGGAGTATATGGAAAAATTCGTTAAGGAAGTCGTTAAAGTTAATAGCAACGTGCCAGTGGAATATTCTTTCCTTTTGATAATATGCCGCCCGTGATGATCCGTCTTTGTCATGGATAGTCGTAAGTCGTAATTTTTCATTTGCCTCGGGGTCCCTGCTGTATCGTTTCATGTATAAGTGGGTAGTACGTAGTGCATCGCATTGCACCAACATGGATTTGTCGGCAGTCACTTCTTAACTGCCGACAGTCATTGGGTATCTGATGTCTCTATTTTCCGATTCGGAAGATGTGCTCGAGGAGCTGCTACTGAGCGTCACGGAATGTTGACGCTGACGATCATTTCTCTTCTTGTTGCGGCTGGCCGTCTCGTTGGCAGGCAATCCTTGGATGACGCCATTACGAGCCAACATCCCTCCATTAACTGACGACTGACGGCAAACCATAAAGGCCTGTGTGGCGGCATTCTCCTGAGCCAAGGCATCGGTTTGGTATGCTAGATCTGTTTGGTACTCCTGTCCATTGACGAGAACGAGACAAGTGAAGCCTTGTGCGTCGCGGTACGTCTTGTACTGGGACCTTGCCAACCTCGTCGACGGCACAAATCTGTCTACATGTCAGCGGGTAGACTAGGGATTTTGTTGCACAATTTGTATTCTGAAGGTGAATGTAACGCTGGTGTCCATAATATTGACCCCATCAGGAATAGCATATCCATTGGGGCGTGTTTGGTAGCGCAGCGGGATTATGGATCCCAAGAGGACGGTAACAGATGAACATATTGAGGCGATCAACTCAGCACTTTTTTGATACAACGCTGGCCAGGGCAGGGTTATATCAAGAAGCCCAATCGAATACAAATTCCCACTGAGGTGATGAAGAAAAAAATCCGAACTGATGAACCAACGTACTCTCTAAATATGCCATGTAGAACCCCATTTTGGTATTCTTAAAATGTCAGAGTGTGATCGGATCCCCAAGACAGAAGCTATGCCCGTCGTCTGAAGTGTGGTGAGACACCCCGTCCTCGATCGATATCAGGCAGTGAGTATGCCTTGAATTTAGATAAGTGCCGAACGCTACAGATCTGACGATATGGACGCAATTGAGCCCAATGTTTAAGGTATACAGGGAAATATGCACACACTCAGTGCCGTGTATGTGAATACAATGATGTATGGATGGTGTTGTGGTGTTGAAGAATAAGGCTGACTATGATCGAGTGGATGTTCTAGGGGTTCTGTGCAGGACTTTCCTTCATTAATGGCGAGACATGTGTGATTTATTGCAGAGTCTAATGGTTAGCGTTGAACAAGGATCATGGGGTGATTTCCCGTAGCAGAATTGAGAAGCTGTTTAGATAGGACAATGGCTTGAACCATCTGCAAGTCATGAATGCGGCTCTTTGGATATGATGGCGAGCGATGTGTTGGCGTATGCCGTTGCCAGTGATAATATATCAACATAATTAGGCAAACTCCACCACAGCATGGGAACGCATAGAAGCGATGATCTTGGATAGCTTGAACGTACCAAATCTCCGTTCTGAGAAACGTCTGCAGATATTGAAATTGTCGATGCAGCGGGGTGGCAAAAAGAGCTCGCGAGATACCTTGTCCCACTGATCCGGACAAAATATGGGAACATGCCATTACCATGGGGGTGAGTAAAAAGTTTGCGGACCGCGAGCAGAGAAAAGAGCCAAGACTCAATGGATACTGTAACATCATAGATGGATGGCAAAAAAGATGAGTAAATCTTCAGCAATTACGGACTTTTTCCCAGAGAGATCCGCTGGGTTGGCCACTAATGCAAAGAAATCGATGGCATTACAAAAGTACCATGGGTCCAAATGCAAGAAAAACGTCAATATTGCTGGCTAGGTCAGGGACATAATCCTCCAGAAATTCATCTAATTGTACCTACCATCTACCGATACATTGATATTGAATCCTTTGACCCCAAAATGGCTTGTGCTTTCCTTGAAATGGTGCCATTGAGTGCTTGTTAATAACAAATGTGGAAAGATGAAGGCGTTTCCTGTTCTCGGGACATGTCTCTATTGCCCCGCACTACCACGGTACATTTGGGGTCGTAAAGGAGAGACGAGAGAAAGAGAGAAAGAGATCGCAACAAGCAGCGCGATTGACGCGGAATGACTGGAGTACGGCTTGACACGAAGTCGGTGAGCCTTCAGTGCATGAACAGTGGCTGGAATTGACCGGCCTTCATCATCGAGTATTGTGCTTCAATATTTGTGATAGTTGATTCGCGAAGGAATCAAAAAAAGATGCGAGGCAAAAATCAGCCAGGTCTACTACTAACCGTAAACAAGGTTGTGGTGCGTATGCTTGATGAGTTGGCAGTGCGCTTGACATCTCGATAGTAATGATTATATGCCGTTGAAATTGAAAATGGTATAACGGTAAAGTATATTAAGCAAAGCGTGAAGATGCCGTAGATCTAGAAGTTAGCAAGTCGCTGGTCGGATGTACTCCAGATGTATGAAGTGTGTAGACGACTCTAGAGTCTGAGGTTGGAAGGAATAAGTTTGGGAACATTATTCGTTGATGGTTCGTGGAAATAAAGACTTTTCCTTTTCCCCTTGATCCCTCCATGGAACAATCAAACACCGAGAAGGACAAGCAACACAAACAACCTTATGCAGCACAAAGTACAATAAAGAATCTTGTTAATCGTGCAATCTTGCGAAATATCCAGAATTACCAGCTTCCTCTTTGGTTTCCTGTTTTCATTTATTTTGAAAGATTATGGGAAGGGCCGTCGCACCGTCCCGTTCTGAAGATTCAACCGTTACATTGACCAGGCAGGTACTTGGGGGGGCATTTTTCACAATTGGGCCCATTGGCACACTTCCCATTGCAATCGAGCGAGCATATGTACCAAGTAAGAATCCTGCAGATTCCAATCGCCATTGATCATACCGAGAATCCTACCGTTTGGTACAAATGCAAGCTCGGGGACATTAGAATACGGCCGTGATAAGTTGATCTGACATGGAAGAAGATGATGGATCGAGATTTGAATCGTTCCAATTTGCATCATCTACAAGTTCAACTTCCTCTTGTTTAACCCAGACCTAGGTTCCGTTCTATTGACCAAAATAGGTGGCGAGTCGGAAGAAACTGCTCTAGAGGGAAGTAATTGATTCGTAAATACGCGATGTGGGTATATGATACAAAAAAGTTACAAGACAGTGGAAATGGCCTGCATGTTGCAGCTGTAGCAGCGCTATGCAACTAGCGAGTAAGTGAAGGGGTTCTCTCTTTCTCCTCTTGCGAGGGAGAGGGGAAATCATCCTGTACCTAGGTACTTTAAGCAACGAAGTGGAATCAAAATGCATGTGCGGACAACAATTACTGGAGCTGGAATTTCTACATACAGTATCTAAAGTACAGATCAATAATAGTATCTATCTCCGAAGCTCCCCCAAAAGTCGGGAACCCTCTCGGATCCTGGATCCATTGATACCGGTACCATGATACGACATGTCCTCAAAAGTCCAACACAACAACACACACAACACACACTTCACATGGCCGACCCAATATGTATCGTATTGCCATATCCACTCCTCACTTGTACAAGAATAACAAAGTAGTTGGTGATACTTTGCGGTGAGCTCATGACGATTCAATGAGACCGAAAACAGTTGGTAGAACCGAGAGAACCGACCAATCTTCAATGTGGGGGGGGGGTGACCTCGACCACCAGTTTTCCATTCGATCTTCTTGTTATCCCGATAAATTGGCGAACCATGAGAAAAGAACTTCCCCAAAGCATCCACTCTCGGTCTCCACTTTCCCACCAGTCTAGTAAGAATCTACTCGGTATCAAAACGGAATAAAATGCGAAGGGAGACCTTCATGCACTTCATGCAACTTACCAAGGAGCTACAGTACCTAGCAATACAGTCTCTTTATGATCTATCATATGGATTTCATGTGAAGAGAGATTATCAAATCCTTCGTTCTTTTCCGGAACTGAACGAACAGTTAGTACGACGTATCTCGTAACTGCCACCTATGTTGCCATTGGGGTTAATGTATCTCACAAACGCCGCTTGCTTTTAAATCAACACAATTTTCCAGTCACGTTCAGATGTTGACCCTGTTGGCAACAAAGAAGGAAGGACAACAATCAGGCCATTCTCAAGCTCAGCCACCGGGAAAATGGAAGACCCAATTGGTCGGTTGGACTTAACTAACGCATCGTTGAATCTGTCTTGCGGTAAAATAGATTATGTACATCACGTGATATGTAAAGCCCACCCCCGTCGCCGACGAAGTGTGAAACTGGCGCGATCTATATGTGCAGACTTTTCGTCCCATAAATACCAATCCCGAGCCAATGTAAATTCAGCCCATATATTCAAAATGTTGGTACGTTTTAAAAGGTCCCCTTTGAAGCGAAGTATGCCCGGGTCTCCTCAGCAACGCCTTCTGGTATCACGAAAACCGGGTGGAGAGTCTCCACCCTATCTTCTTCATCATATATCTGTGTTGTCTCAACATAAGGCTCGGCCGTCCATTGATACGGTGAAACGAGCGTTCCACTCGATTCCGTTTTCTGTGCAGACGTGTTGAAATGCCACTTATGCTGTGCGGAACTAAGACCTGCCAAAACATAGCATGTGTGATACGAATCAGAGCGACTATAATAGAAGATCAGCATTCATGTGGAGCGGAAAAGAAGAGATCGGCTCTTCATGCTTACTGGCTGGGCTTATCCCTCAATCCACCCCGATTTCCTGTATCCTGACAACAGCAGAGGATGTACCTGATCAAACCGTCGCGACTGTAGAGATTTACCGAATCTGGATTCGAGGATGACCCTGTTTGAGTCTGCTGCGCTGGTCCTTCAAGGCATGCTTCCAATAGAGGCCAACATCCTCCAACCCAATGGGAGTAGCACCCGTCGACTAACTTATTTGTGCGACCTGAGAAGCCGCCTTCCGGCGCATATTGACGTGCTGATAGCCATGAAATAAAGCCGGGCACGTCAAGATACCTAGATATGTGTTAGCATAGTGATTCGTGGATGATTAGCTATACAATTTTAACCTACTGAGGTATCGTGATGTGTGGTTCACCTAAAATGCACAAACAGCCTAATGCTAAGAACGCATACGCGCCATGGGCTTCGACATTAGGTCGAGCTCCTATACCGCCCTCAAATGTTTGACCTATTCTATTAGCACAAGATTTAATTTCTTCTTTGTTTTGAACATACATCTTGAGATCCATTCTGGAAGTCCATCGATGAAAGTAGTATAGTTTGATGATCTCGCGGGAGCATCTTGGGGAAGATCGAGAGGTAAACTTAGGAGTGTAATGAGAATCAGAGCACAATATGCACCACTTTGAAAAATATCAGTTTCCTGTCCTCCATCGTCCTACTTTCGGAAGGCTTACCGAATATCTTCCTCGCCACCCACAGCCATTCTGAACCCCCCGGTAGACATCTTCAAGCTGCCTAGCCATTTCCACATTGCCTTGCGATCAATGATATCCAAGGCTTCTTGCCCACCTACCATGGAAATTGATAGAATGTTTGCATAGGTCGTGGCCAAATGTGACATCTGACCATTTCCTCCACCAAACCCTCCAGTCGCATTCTGGATGGGTCGACATGTTGAAATGATTTTTTCTCGATATGATGATACATCTTCTCCCAAGGTTGAGAGACCAGCCAATGCCCAGTAGAACATCCATGGTCTGCTTGCATCAGCAGCGACATATGCCGAGGGCAACTTTTGTAGATTCTTATGAAGGAACTGAATATGCTTTTTTCGACTCAGATGTGGAACCCCATATGGATTATAGGTCAATCCAGCTTCTTTTCCCGAAAGAAAAGGAAGACATTCTTGAATGGTTTGATCTTGAAGATGAGATGTCTGAGTCTGCAATTGATCATGGAGTAGGGGGTACTCCGTGAAGGTATCGGGAATCATATTCATAAAAGCCTCCGCTGTGATTGGTCGGGATGAGCCGTAAACAATATCTTCATCAGTTTCAGCCTCAATATCTGCTTGCGATGATGAAGATTCTTGTATAATAAAACCAGGTGTTTGTGCTTGATTCTCTAGTGAAGCATCATATAAAAGTTGATCTAGTTTGCTGGAAGGAGATAGAGATGAAGACTTTTTATTCGAGCCCTTCTTCTCTTCCATTGCACGTCGATTGAACTTGACACTATGGTGAGGCTTCTTTCCTTTGATAATGAAAGTCATGTGGGTTGGATGTTTTTTGTCTAAGATTCAAGGAATACAATGATCTTCCGTCATGATTCGCTATTGGTCTTTACTATTGTTTTACTGATTGATGCTTCGAGGTTGACCAGGTCAGTGCTCGCTTACAAAAATTATTACCACAAGAGCCAAAGAAGGCTACCAAAGCCTGAAAGTCCGTCCATCTTGATCAAAAATCCGCATTTGGTTGAATTTGTACCATTGCCGATATAGATTCTTTGTGTTCAAAATACGATTGAAGATGCAATGCGAGCAAAGCAACGTTCCATACGTCTTCTACGATTGTTCCAAAGATCCCAAGGTGATTCCGTTGCAACACATCTACCTGCACATTTGCATTCGCATTTGCATTTACATTCACGAAATGCAAGTTGCCGTAAGGCGAGACTGCAAGCAAGTTGAATCTCTCTATTTTGGTAATTGGGCTGTCATCCTTCGGTCATTGCCGACCTATGATTACTGGTGGTACGGTGCCATTTTGCCCAAAGCATGTATCTGCAGATATTGAATGCCAGCCAGGGCTCTAATTCGTTCGGGAGCCTAATCAGTTCTACTACCTTTTGTTCTTTCACTCGCGGCACGTCAAATCCGCATCATAAAGCACAATGGCGAAGGCTGTATGTAACTTGAGGATAGTGGCAAATAATTGTTGACGCCCCAAAGGAAGTTTTGAAGGAAGAGAAAAACAGATTATCATACATAGAACATGAGATGACAACTCTTTTCCGACACTGACAAATCTCCAATTTCATAACAAAACGTTTCACTACTTAACATGGGGCGCGATATGCGAGGAATATGTCGGCATGCGCTGATTTGCAGAATGTTTTTGGATTGACCAATGAAGAGACCCGAGAGGAAATTCATCCGCTGCAGGCGTGTGGTGTTGAGGCGTTTTTGCATGAATTTCGATATGCAGCTATCGGAGGGATGGGCCGTTCTATCAGAGGATAGGATACGAGGAATTTTTAATCAAGAAGCCATCGTGGGTTACACTGCTTGGATAACACCTACTCAATCGATACATTTTGTACATGAAAGTAGGTGTTAGTGCCAAGTTGATGATGAAATTGCGAAACGATGAGGGGAAGGAGGGGTGGAAATGAGGGGCATAAATGTTAATCGCATATGGCGGCTGTTTGTTGATTGCTTTTTTATCTTGTCATACAATCTTCGTGCCTGGTGGTGTCTCAGATCTCGTTGGCACGTTGTCAAGGTCCACCAGGAATTCATCTATGCGGTGCGAATGTAGACACATACTGTACCAGACAGGATAGTTGAGATATTCTCAATCCGATATTGTTTCGATAGAAGGCATTTGCGAAATGCCGGTAGATATCTGGTTAGGTACGGGAGGGTGGTACAAGGCGGACGTAAGCAGCATAGCGTTAATCGTTGATGAAGATCATCCATTATCACTCCGATAAGAACTGATTGTGGTTGAGGTTGAATTGAGTTTATTGCAGGACGGGATCCCCTGGTTCACTGCTACCTCAATGTTGCATCTCTGACGCCTCCTTCGTGTAGAACATATGGAAATGAGATAAACTTACAGTCGATGTACGGTCAGAATCCTCATTTGATTACTGTACATACAAGTCAATGAAATGGTGGTCACCATCTTACAATATTCTTCCAGGTCCCGTCACCCATACACAGGATACCTGACCGGTTCATACATTCAAAGCTCTTGTAGAGTCAGTTCTTGAGGTTTGACAACGCTTGAAACAAAGTTTAGACCGAATTGGATTTTTCTGGATTGCGATAGCTCGGATGCTAAGCTCACTCTACCCTCTCGGGTCTAGGCGAAAGATCTGACATGCCGAAGCCAAAAAGAGAGACGTGCACTCAACAAACGAGGGGATTTTTGAAGAAATTTGAGAAAAAACTTCGTAGGGAGAGGCAGAGAGGGTCCAGGGGACCATCTTATCATCTTTGGCGTCGTAGATGTGGGAAAGGGTTTAAGAAAAAGTATGTAAAACTCTAATCGTAGGATAGATCCGAAAGATATTGATTGACAGAGCAACCATTGAGTCAAAATGGAGACCTCAGCCATCTCAATTGGAGATTCAAAAGTCTTTAGTCGGATGTCCAGAACCTTTTCTAGCAATCGCCACTGAAATCATTCGATCTCGTCTACTCCGTCCATATAGCGTTCGGGAATCTATTTCATGATTTGTTGTTCAGTAGATTTTCATGTACTGTACGGAGTACTATCTATTGACAGGTGTTGTTCTTGACTCAAATTAGTGGTAAGTAGGTAGGGAAAGCCTAGCACCCGCTATTATATAGCCATTGTTTTAGGTACTGCGCCGCTAATTCGAGCATCAATCGTAACTACTTACAGGCTATTTCTCCACTTCCCTAACTTCCAGCCCCTCTTGATAAATAGAGGGTTAACTTACAGTGGGAGCCCACTAAGTATCAAGCTACTCTGGGTCTTAAGACTCCTTCCAATCACTATTGCTTGTTATTTTCATGGGTGAGCCCTGAAAAATACTCTGTCTCCCAGGGACTTCTCCAAAATCTACCATAGAAATCGAATCCATTGGACACATGACTTCTCTGCTCGCAGTAGTCTCATGCTGCCCCATGCAGCAAGAAGACGCTTGTGGTTCCAGCCGTCACACCTGATTCGGCGAAGGCTTGCCAGTGGGCTCAAAATGGCTGGGGTCGTATAAGTTTGCCGAAATCCCACACCGCTCCTTATGTGGATCCTACCCTCACCTTACGAACTTCTACTACCAATAGGCCACACACCGACTAACATCGTGAGGTTTTCCTCTTCTTCAAAGAGCGGTGTCTTCGACCCTCTTTCTTACAATACTATTGACCATTCCAACAAGTAATCCGCGACAATGAGCTCAAATCTTGACTTCTCGCCAGAAGGTCTATTAGACCTTTCGTTCGAGCAACGTGACCCACGATACCAATTTACCAATATGACTACGCGTTCGACTTGGCCACTGCCGTTGGATATGGCCTCAGGAGGATCTGACGACCGACGGGAAACTTCGCCAGGACATAGTGGACACCAACAGTATCAAACCGGACACCATCATAATTCTCCCACATTATTGACAGATTGGCCGATACAACAGCAACCTCAGCATTTGTCACCCCAGCAACTTTCCCCTCAGCAATTGTCGCAATTTATCCCGGACAACTCGTTGATGGGACCACAATATACATTTGGCAGCCCGTACCAAACCTCACCTCTCGACTATGGCTTACCTGCAACCACACAAGCAGCTCTCGAAGCCAGTCTCCAGATGGAAGCTCCATTTAACGGACTCACACAAACGGTTGAGGCGCAGGCGAATCAATGGCAGGATTGGCATGAATTCGAGTATGCGATGAATTTTACCTCGAACCATGGAATTCCAAGTATAGGACGACAAAGTCTGGGAAGCAACTCACCGACGGGTACGTACTTGGAAGTGCTCTCGTTACCCAGTTCGAGTAGTGATCACGGATGGTCGACAGTCGATACGTACCAGGATTTCAACACCTATCAACAAGCGCAAAACCAAGCAATTTTCAACCCAGGACAAACATTACATTTGCGAAGTCACTCGGATTCATCGCAATCCGACGGTCATCAATCGATAGATACCTTTGGCAGTTTTGAGGATTTGTCAGGATACCCATACTCGCCGTACTCACCGGGCTCGGACAGCTATTTGGATGTGACGGGTGGACACAGGAATTGTTTCCACGGCGAAGCACATCATCACAATCACGATATTATCAGTCCCGCTGCGGCCGTTCCCCACAACCCATCCAAGCTCCATCTACAAAATCCACGGCGGCTTCAACAACTTCCAACCGTACCTCTCCATCCAGCACCTCGTCGCCTCCCGCAAGAAGAAACTCCGCACCCCGCAAGAGCCCCACGGCCAAAGCCACCAAACCAGTCATCCGCCGCACCTCCAACGGAAAGAAGGATGCCCCAACCGAGAAGCGCGTTGGACGAAGACGCGGCCCCTTATTACCAGAGCAGCGCAAACAAGCTAGCGAAATAAGGAAATTGCGAGCCTGTCTCCGCTGTAAATTCTTGAAGAAGACGTGCGATAAGGGTGAGCCCTGTGCGGGATGTCAACCTTCGCATGCTCGTTTGTGGCAGGTGCCGTGTACGCGTATCGATATCAAGGATATTGGTTACTTCATGAAGGATTGGAAGGCGGATTATGAACGTCACGTGGGGAGAGGTGTGTCTGTTTACAATATCAAGGGATTCTCGCAAAAGGAGGAGTTGCTTTGGATTACTCACGGATATGGATTTGCTCTGCCGATTATGGCGAGAGAGGTTTATGTGAGTGATGATAGTTGCTTTAATGTCGACTGGGTTGAGGGTGATCACGAAGAACCCATCGAGTTTGAAACTCGCACGGAGAGAATGTCTGCTGGTTCTGAAGGTGTCTCGAATGAAGCATTATCTGAGTACCTCGATAAACACATCGATGGACCTTTTGAAGAATTTATCGATGAGTACTTTGAGGGCACTCCATTCATTACCGAGATTTTGAAGACTGCTCACCGCTACTACATGAAAGAGAAGGTTTCCGTCGTCCGCAAGGCATTGAAACTCGTTCTTGCTTACAACCTCACCTTACACGTTACCATGGTCGAGCAAAGAGGAGACGAGCACCCAATGGAAGGAATCATCGATGACGAGGACTCCAAATTCAACGGAAAGGTCGTCGCCCCCGTCATGATCAATTTCCAAATCAAATGTGCCCTCGCCGACATGTGGCGTGAACTCCAAAAGGAGATTCTCGAAGAATTGTCCTCACTCTACTCTAGCGTTTACAGTGGTGACAGACTCAAGAACTGGCCCACAATCTTCATGCTTGCATCGATCCTCCTCGCTGTGTGGGAAGAAATGCAATTCGATTGTCATTACCGGGTTCCCGACCAAGCAGCCGTCAACAAATTCTGCAACGATATGGAAACCACCCCAGTAGGCGTCATCGTCGGATTATTCCATGCCATTTCCCAGAAACTCCCTGCGTTTACCGATTGGGAAACTAGAAGACATGGTCAACTCCTCAACAACAACGTAGCTGTCTGCGAAGCCATGACTGAAATGAGAGGTCACGTAACCAAGCATGGTTTGTTCCCCCTCTCTCCTCTCCTCTCCTCTCCATCCAACATAACATGACTAACCCACCCCATCTAGAATCCTACCTCAAAACCCGACCTGACGCTAAATTCGACCGTCGCGACTTCGACTGTCTCTCCAACAAATTCCTCTCCAAACTCGTCATTCGCGCAAATTAATCCTCCTCCTCCATCTATCCCCATTTGCAAATATATACCAACCTCACCGCCCGCTATATAAACCCCCAATTGCACAACCCCTCCCTGTACAAACCCGTTACCCATCCCCGGTTTCCGGTACCAAGATAACGAATTCAATGCTCTTCATGACCATCCATGACATGATATGAAAAAAGAAAACGATTGCAGGAATATGTTTTTCCACCTTTTCTCCTTCTCTTTCTTAGAGAAAGCAAGAAAGAACAGAACGAATGAAAAGAATAATTTGTTAATTTCCTATTTTTCATTTTACTTTTGTTATCCACGGCATAGCGTTTTGGTTGTTTTTTTTTTTTTTTTGAAATTTTCCTCTATTTTTTCTTCTCCTTTTCTTTTCAATCTTTTATTTATCATCATCATCAGCCGCAAAAAGTTTCCTCCCTCCCCAACCAACTCAACGACCGACCCCCTTTAACGAAACAAACGACACATGTTGATTTTTGTGGTTACATGTATGTATGTACATATGATTGAGATTTCAAGAGAAATCTTGGAAATCTAATCTCATCATTACACACACACACACATACACATAAACAAACACAATCTACCCACCTTTAACGAAGATCATGGAATTTAAAGAACGCTTAACGTTTACATGTCAATGTTTTTATGTTTCTACGGACCCCCCTATGTTATCTTTTTTACTATTATCTATCCATCTCATCATTGCGTTTTCTTTCCCACCCTCTCACGGAATAAATGGATGGAGAGGTGTTTTATTGATTTTTCTATTTATTTACTCATCTTACCTTATCTCATTGTCATTGTTTCTCTCAAGCGTTTATTTAAAAGAAGGCAGAAGAAATGATCGAAGTAACTGCCGAAATATGAACCCTATGAAAAGATTATTATTATTATGTATGGCATGGCGTGCATTGAACTTATTTATCTCTCGGTTTGCTTTTCTCTCTCTTTTTTTGTTTATGGAAAGGGGGAAATCAATGGGGCATGCGATGGGATGGGATGAAAGATGGGCGAAGAGCAATAGCGCGAGCGAGGGGTGTTTTTTTTAAGCTGCGAGGGAGAGAGAGAGAGAGAGTATGGAGGAGGAAGAGGAGGATGTGTATACGAAGTTATTGGATGTCGGACGCAAGAAAGGCATATTTTTATACATGAGGAGAAATTTCGGGGAGGGAAGGGTCGTAGATAAAAACACCAAAATTTAAAGCTTTTTCACTTGATGAACATTTAAGATTCTTTTTGAAGATATTGTTACTTTGGTTTGCTTGGTGTATGTTTCTTCTGAATATTTAGATGTGTACCTAGTATGTTGTGCCCTTGGTATTCGAATTTTGGATAGGTACTTGTTTGTGTAGGTTGATTGGTACTTGCTCGTATACCTGTAAAACACCTTCACTTTGTATAATGAGGACTTACTTAGGCTTATCTTCGGTGATCTCTCGGATGCAAGATGCTGACTCTTGCGTTCTTTTATATGCACGCGGTTATCACCGACCAGGGAATGGAAGAGATGGAAGGAAGTAAACTTTGGGATTGATCGGATGAAAAGATTTGATAGCTTGTTTCTTGAGAAAGAATTTACATTTCTGCTAGTTTTTCAGTGTGAAGGCGTTGAATGATGAAATCGAGAGGCAAAGAAAGCCAAATCTGAAATTCACGAGACGAGGGAAATTTTGTATGCGCAGCCCAATCCTTTCAAAGAGGTCACGTTTTTGAGGCCCTATCAATGTGGACGTGGGTGGAATGGCTGTAAACTTACTCGCATCTTCAATAATACCACCTACAAAGTATGTAGAGATTGTACGTCCTTGCCTCTCATCTTCTCATCAGTGTTGCATCCATCCATTGCCGACTTACCAGACAGATTCGGAGTTTTTGACCGGCGTCCCAAGGTATTCTCTTCGAAAAGAGTTTGCATCTCCGAGACCTCATCGGAGTTTCTGATACCAGATACACATATGAAAGGGATCATACGTTCTTTCCCTTCTTTGAACCTTGGAAATGGGTCAGCTGCTGACCAAGTGTACCAAGAAAAAGGATTTATTTATGTAGGAGTATGCACACTGTTCCTCTGCTTCTGTACTGCGTTGTCCAATTTATGCACCTGCATTTGGATCCCGGATTGGTCGGCCATGGACAGGCCGGTATGGAAAGTTGACTGAGTGATCCATTTGATTGCAAGAATCAGGGATGTTGATACGATTTTCCGTTTTCTTAATCTTTTATCCTCTATCTTTTATCGTGATTGGGATTGCAATATTGAGCATGGAAATGACGTATCATGAAAGGAAACCCTTTTTATAGATTCTGATGATTGTGAGAGTGCGAGAGGAAAGTAAAGTTTGGATTATGCGATAACTTGCTGCTACTTGCTAGTGCATTGCGAGATATTCTATGCAGGAGTTTGAAACGGAAAGTGCATCGGATTGTGTACAACTGGCAGTTTTTGGCTGGAAGGTGCAGATTTAAGCATTAAGCATTGAGAGTGAGAGTGAGAGTGAGACTGAGACTGAGACCAAGCCCGAGAGACGATGAGTAGAAAGAAAAGGCAATGAATGATTGGAACTGCAATAGTCTCTGGATAATGGGTCCGAGTACGAAGGCGATGAAAGGCAAAAGAAGTAAAAAAGAGAGAGGCTGGAAAGATGGTTGATGTTGATGATATGGCAAATGTTGTCCTTTCTTTCCATGATTCATTCATCTATTGATCCTCTTCATCGCAAAGCCAAATCCCAGTTGACCGAGACCGAGTTGAGGTAGAAGGCGGGGTTAATGTCAAGCTAATTCGTTTTAGGAAAGGTCTAGAGCTGATAAGGGGAAGTTGCTCAGTTCTCAAGGTGTTGACAGTATTGATGGCGTTGACGGTGTTGACGGTGTTGACGTCCGGAATTGGAGTATATAGTCATCACTCATCACTCCTGGACTGTATTACCCAGTCGATATTGATGATTTCCATTTGAACGGAAGCAAGAATGATTAATAAACAATATGGATATGGTACATACGTACGATGACTAAGAAGAGTCTATCTAATAATGATCTCTCTCTCTCTCTCTCTCTCTCTCGACTGTGAAATGATGTATTCCGTAGAAAGCACTCTCACTGTATTGATTTATAATCAATCATTCATCTAACTCCGTACTCGCACTCACCTACGACTATTCACTCAGGTCCAGATTCCGAGAAGATTCCATTTTCCATTCTTTATTCCAAATATGTCCAGCCTCGGAAGATTCAGGCTGAATTTCTTTTTCTCTCCGTACCGACCCTACTGAATAGAAATCCCTAGAAGGAACGAGTCAACGGTGAGTAAAGAAGGCGCAGCAGTACCTTGATCGTACGCCTATGGACCGGTGATTCATTCACTCATTCTTACTAAACTCTAAAAGGTGGCGTGGCGCTAAGCGATAAGGCAAGTTCAATGCGGTTCCTCCTTTGAATACCTACTTAAACACTCCATCTCACCCTCAAACATCTCTCCCTTTCTTCCATTATACAACTCCATCAACTCTCTCTCTGGGATAACTTCTTTTGATTCTCAATAAATCATCATCTACAATATCATCTACTTCATCAAAAGATTAATACCACAAAAACATCATCATGCAGATCTTCGTCAAGACTCGTAAGTTGTCACCTTTCCATTTGCCGCCTTCGAGTGGCATCGCCACTTCACTTCCAGAAGTAGCTTTCATCAACAATTTCATCAATAAATTCGTCAAAAACATCTGCTAATATGTATCTGCTACAGTCACCGGAAAGACCATCACCCTCGAGGTTGAATCTTCCGATACCATCGACAACGTCAAGGCCAAGATCCAGGATAAGGAGGGAATTCCACCTGACCAACAGCGTTTGATTTTCGCCGGAAAGCAACTTGAGGATGGTCGCACTTTGAGCGATTACAACATCCAAAAGGAGTCCACTCTCCATCTCGTTCTCCGCCTTCGTGGTGGTATGCAAATCTGTAAGTTAATCACTATTGCCATCGCATTACGCCACAGTTTACTAACATCATCATAGTCGTCAAGACTCTTACTGGTAAGACTATCACCCTCGAGGTTGAGTCTTCCGATACCATCGACAATGTCAAGGCCAAGATCCAAGACAAGGAAGGCATTCCTCCCGATCAACAGCGTTTGATTTTTGCCGGTAAACAACTCGAGGATGGTCGTACCCTCTCCGATTACAACATTCAAAAGGAATCTACCCTTCACTTAGTCCTCAGACTTCGTGGTGGTATGCAAATCTTCGTCAAGACTCTCACTGGAAAGACAATCACTTTGGAGGTTGAGTCATCGGACACTATCGACAATGTGAAGGCTAAGATTCAAGACAAGGAGGGTATCCCACCCGATCAACAACGTCTTATCTTTGCCGGTAAGCAACTTGAAGATGGCCGCACTCTTTCCGACTACAACATCCAAAAAGAATCAACCTTACATTTGGTCCTTCGTCTTCGTGGTGGTATGCAGATTTTCGTCAAGACCTTGACCGGAAAGACCATTACATTAGAAGTAGAATCGTCAGATACTATTGATAACGTTAAGGCTAAGATCCAAGATAAGGAGGGTATTCCACCCGACCAACAACGATTGATCTTTGCTGGAAAGCAGTTGGAGGATGGCAGAACCCTTTCGGATTACAACATTCAAAAGGAATCGACATTGCACTTGGTGCTCCGTCTTCGTGGTGGTCAATAAATGTTTTTGATTCAATCTGCACATATGTTCTTTAGGCGTTTAACGATGACCTGATCCAATGGTGTTATGGGGGCTGGGTTAGCAGGTTCTCATCATAGTGCACTGGCATGTGCCACAATATTGATAGTATTCAATAGTCAAAACTATATTTTTGACATTTAAATCTGTACTCGTATGCATGTGATTTTGAATATATGATTGTGATTATGATTAGTATGTAAACAGTAAATAGGTATCAATGCTTCACTTCCTTATCGTACCTGAGATGAAGTTGGAGATAATGACGGTGTTATG